TACATGATGGAAATAGTTTTTCCTATATGAGAGGATGCTATCTGGTTGTTTGCTTCACAAAGCAAGATACATGGACCTTTTATGAATAAGTCTATATTAGTAGGGAATAGAGATTTTCCTTAAATAAGGCAACCAATTTAATCACAATGCATTCCTACATAACCACAACCTTTCAGCAGCAGCACTCAAAAGCTCAACAACACATATTTTGATCCTTTGACTGGCTGGCTGTGACTCATTTTCCTTTTCAGGGACACTTGGGTGGACTGGAGAAATGTACCGTGATGGAAGAGCTAAAGAAGGGCTCAGACCTAAGGTGTTGTGCTTCCTCGTATCAGTGAAGACCATACCAAAACGATGTCACCTCCACCTGTCTGAGAAGCAAGACTTATGTTCTTATCAAATCCATATGACACAAAATCCAGCGTTGCTTTACTAATTCCACTGGGGCACCTCTTCACACAGACTGTGCCTCTGATTCACCAGAGGCAGGTTCTTGATTAATTTCTGTAGGCCCACCCTTGTGTTTGATGTTAACTGTGAGCTATAAGGAGACTGCTGAATCAGGCTCACTCAGGGTTACCCTACGCCTCTCAGGCTAAAGTTGCAATGAAGCAGACTCTGGCTTTCCTGGAACATATCTGGCATAGGAACGGACTCTGCAGGATTTATTACATACACATAAATATTTGGATTTTGGGAAGCACAGTGTCATTGAAAGGTGGCTGAATAAAGAAAGGAAAAGATAGAAAGAATGAATCAAAGCAGAAGAAATTTCTCTGTGTTGTTTCCAAGCTCTTAACTATCATATTAGCTCAAACAAGGGCCTACATTCACAGTATTTATTTACTAACAAGTGGCATTTATTAGTATCTTACAGTGCAGCACTGGGCAGAAAACAGGAAAGTGCTCTTTTCTTTTGGAAGAACTTTTTTCCATCTTTTTTGTTGTTCCTTTTGTTGCTGTAACTAATTGATATATTATTTTACAAAATAAGCCCAGTTAGCGAAACTTATTTTATGCTCCCTTGCTACTATACCAACAAAACGAAACCCAAGTTCCTGCATGATGTGACATGTAAACCATTTGTGCTGAAGTGACTGCCAGGAAACGGATGGAAAGTTTTTATCCTGAAGAAAAACACTCAAATAAAATGCTAGCGTAATCTAAAATTATTCACTGACAATAACTATGGGATTTTTGTTTTTTTTTTGTCAATCTAGCAGAGCCCAGCATTAAACAACTTAGGGCATCAGAAGAGAAAGTGATACATTGTCCTTTCTGATGTTCAGTAAATCTAAAAGCAAACTTTTTTTTAAAGGGAAGACATAAAACAATTTTGTTTGCATTTCATGGGAAAAAAAACATCAGTAGTGCTGCCATCTAAGGTAAAGCACACATGTTTTCAAAGAAAGCATTGTGTGTTAGTAACATCTTGCCAGTTTCACTCAGGTTCTTTAAGGCAGGTCATGATTTAAAAGCTGGACATCCCCAGCTCCACCTACATGCTATGATCACAACTGTGTGCGCTTATCTCAGCGCTCTGCTGCGCCGTGATTCAGCTTCATTTATTTTCTTTAAGGGAGCTAGAAGTCAGGAAAGGACAGATGAATGGCTTACTTCTTTTTCACTATGCAACTTCAAATTTTCAAGACGGCCACCTGCTCCTTTGTTGAGAGAAAGTTAAAACTGAGAGCCCATTTTTCTGAGCCACAGAAAAATGTAGATAGTTCATTAGCTTTTACCACCAGACTCTAAAATTACAAAGTCACATCAATTCACCTCTTCTCTCCTATGGAGCTTCTCTGCTATCACAAAGCCTATTCAAAATTTCCCCAAGGGCCAAGACCAAACACTCAAAAAGAGGCTAACTTAGGATGAAACTGAAAGAGTGCTCTATTATCCTCCATCTGAGACTCCCCGCCCCAACCTCGTTCTCTCTCTCATGCTGTTATTTCAGACCTGTATCAGCACTCAGCCTGACCACAGCTGGTAGCACTGATCTCCACCCTGCCCCCCCCCAAGGATGCGTAACATTAGTCTGAATCTTTCATTCAGTCACCGAAGAAAATACCAAGAGGTCTCTAAAACGACTGCAGCACGCCCAGACAACAGACCTGCCAGAAGGATTCTTCAGCACTGGAGAAATAACTGGCTGTCAGAGAGAGCCTGCTTTGAAGTTACCACTTGCAGCACCCACAGTACCAGGGCTGGATTGGTTTGTACTGGATTACTTTCATGGCAAGCTCTTTTTGTCCCAGTTGAAGAATTCCTTTGTGAGGAAAGAATGAGGATGCATCTTGGGAATGATCTGATACTTCAAAAGATGCTTCTTGTAGCAGTTCATCCTGCAGAAAGATTCTCTTTTGAAGGAAATGTTGCAGAGCCCTTCTGTTGATCACTGTGATAGCACATGCAATGTGCTTTTTATCCTTGCCTGTCTGCATTATCATTTTTTAATAAAGATCCAAAATCAATCCTTGCAAGTTCAGAGTTTTATTAATTGACGTAATTCAAAAATCATTGAATTTATTAATGTTTAGATATATGCTGTTTTTCATAAGGCAGTATTTTTTTCTGCAAACACATCAAAACAAATCTGGAATTCAATGAAAGTTTACTCACTGCCTGGCAAGGGTCTGCAATTCAGACTTCATTTTGGGGACAATAAAGTCAGTAATATCTTTTTCTTTGTGTTTAAAAAACAGAAGAGGTTTTAAAAAAAAATTGAATGTTAGTGGAGGAAAAAAGCAAAAAAGGATTAGCATTCCAAAGCAACTTCTCAAAAATAAAAGCTAAGTTCAGAAAAGGAGAACTCATGGCCTAACGGGGCCAGCTAATACACATATAGTAAGTCTCTAACCAATGCAAATTCTGGAAGGAGCAACGAAGACCGACATTTAAAACCACACATTATCACATTGCAAGGTGTTTCAAAAGCCACTATTTTTTTAGCTTAAGAAAGCATCCTTTCTCTTAGGCCTGCCATCAGCATGAACATTCTATCAATACACTATCTTTGGTCACAGCTTTGATTTTTAAAACAGAAAATCCTAATAGAGTAAATTTCAGGTGTGAAGGCCATAATTCATGCCTAGATCCATACACTTTACTTGTCCTTGGAGCCTGAATAATTCAACTATTTTAACACTCTTCAGCACAGCTGCAATGACAGTGGCATTGTGTTAACACAGGACTTACTTGCACATGGACACCATCAGCCTAAGGATCTCTTGTTCACAGCAGTACTAAGGATACCAGCACATGGGTTTTGAGCCACTATTTCCAGCAGGCAAGTATTAGGTAACTTGAGCACAGGTATACCTTTCACATAAGAATTCTGGCAGTGTTCTCATACAAACAGATCATGGTACGATTTTATCACAGTAAATGTATTAGGATGCATTAGCGTTGTATTTCTGGGTCTTCTGACCTTCCTTCCTATGCAGGCTACATGATCAATCATGGACAAACTCCAGCACAGTTATGTAGATGTTTTCTCCTCATGTAATGCACAGCTTTCCAAAAGCACGCTGCTGGCAGCCATAGATAACTCCACAGTTTTAGTTTAAGGGATTTCATGGATCAACAGAAACAAACACTCAAACTATTACTGTTTCTGACTACCTGATGAAAGATTGCAGCAATTTAGGAACAACCTTCCTCTCCTTTTCTTCAGAGCTTTGTTTTGACTTACAATATTATCAGCCCTCCCTCTCCTCAGCTGAGATATTCTTTCAGCTTTGGTTTAGGCTACAACCTACAAGCAATGGAAGAAAAAACCCCAAACCAATCCTGAAGCACAAGTTTACTTATGCTTTATGTGAAGAGGATACTTTCGTGCATTGACCAAGATGATGTTTTAGTTTGCTGCTGCTTCCTGCCTTCATGCTACTGATGCCAGAACCCAGGATGTCACTGTTACCTCATAGAGTGGTAGTGAGACTCTTACAGCAATAACAGTGGATTGCTTTTTATCAGTGTGAGCCAGGTTAACTTCTACAGTACAATGCAAAATGCAAAGTGGACACCTTTCAGATTCTCTTCTCCTTTTCTCCCTTGCCTGCCTTTAGCATAGGTAATACTACCATAGCAGTTGTGATACTTGGAACACAAAATAGAAAATTATTCATGAGCAAGCAACAAAAACAAACAAATGACACCCAACGTGTACACAGCACTGTTCCTCTTCAATACTCTTAGGTGTGCCAAGCTAACAACAGCTGATTTTGGAGGCAGGGACAGCAAGTGTGGAAACAGGGTCAAAAAGCAAAGGGCTGGCAGAGCTTTCCTACAAGAATTAACGCAGGAGAAGGCCACATCTTCTGGGACCGAGCTCTTGTCTGAGCCAAGGACAAGCAGGGGAGCTTCTCCTCCTTGGAGAGGGGCAACAATGGCAGGGGACCTAGAGATAACTGCAAGTTCTCTTTAACAGGTAGTTTGGGAAATAGCTGTGATTTTAGCTGCCAGGTCCACTTCAGCTGCCTCTAACTCAGTGCTATGTGGAATCACTTGCTAAAATATGGGAGCAAACACCAAATCCATACTCACACAAATGGGAAATCACAGGTATGAGTGTGGCATTTCCAAAATTATCTGTGTATTTTTTTCAGGCAAGATTACTTCAGCATCAACATGAATTTTATCTCAAAATAGGTATACTTTGGAAATTTTCACCATACTTAAAGGGTTTAACATGCAAAACAAGCCCAAATCACAACAGAAGCTAGACTGCAGAGGTTTCAGAAAACTAGCACATACCTATCCTTCAGTGATCAGTCATGATTTAATTTAGAAACAGTAATCAGTAATTGATTACTTTTACAAAGTAACCACAACAAATTCATTCTAGGCAGGAAAGCAATTGTTTTGCAGGCACGAATAACTTCAACAGTTGAGATGGTTTTAGAAGCAGAGTTAAATACTTTACTTATCGGGGCCATAGAGACTAAAGCACTGTGCCAAATTAAAAGACAAATTAAAAGCCTCCAGAAACTTACCACTGATGTAAGAGCCATCTGAAAACTGTAGATTCGTGCAAGGCCAAAGTCGGCTAACTTGATCTGCCCACTGCTGGTTACAAGGATATTTTGGGGTTTCAGGTCCCGATGCACCACACGATGTGAATGCAGAAAATCCAGTCCCCGAAACAGCTGAAGCATCATATCCTAAGTATACGGAAGAAATCAATACGCAATTATCAAGACAAGGCAAACACCCAGCCACAGTCTGCAGTACTAATTTAAGTTAGTGTTGACTTGAGATAAAAACACCTATTAATATAAAATGGGCAGGATATTGCTAGAACCTGTTGACTTGAATAGGTGCACTTATCAAGTTCATGCATCATTTCTAGTTGAATTATTTGTGGTTAATTGTTAAAAGCATAAAGACTGTTCAACAAATTTAAATAACAAAAGCATGTCTGCAAAACACAGATCAACTTTTAATGAATGCTGTCCAAGTAAGAAAAATATATTGCAGCTTTTGGGTTTTAACTTTGAACCATGCACCACTTTGCACTTCCCAGCTGTCTGCTTTGTCTTGCCCCAGTGAAGTGAAATCTTGTTATTCACTTCAATAGGCACAGGCTCTGTTTTAAACAGAAAAGCTAATTAAATGACTGTTTTGTCCGAATTTAATGTTACAGTGGGAAAAAAATTTACTTGTCAAAACCCATTCTATAAAATACACTGAAAAGCGCAGAAACTGCTTAGATCAAACTTCAGCACTAAATCAGTGTAATAATTCCCATTTGGCTTTCTGTTATGTTATGGTGATGCAATCTTTCACGACATTTCCACAGCAGAAGACACTATTTCATCTGTACCCATGTTTTCATACTAATCTGTGTAATGTGAAAGGAATGAACCAAGACTCAAAACTAAATACTAGAAACCCCCAGAATTCCAAATGAGAGGGATAGCATCAACTTGAGAAGTGTATTTGCAAAACAAATAGCTACAAGGAGATATTGCAGTGAGCAAGAAACAAAAGGAGTAAGTTAATTTTTTATGTGCACTTGACTTGAGTTGATGAAAATCCAGCCCTGTGTTTGCTGGTAACATATGTGCTTTCCACAAGCAATGCAGCAGGCTCTCTGCCAATCCTCTTATTAGAAACCAAAATGATCTTGAAGAGGTGATGGTATGAAACATAGGAAAAAGGTAGGATAAGCTGAGTTTGGTTGCTTTTGTTCCTATGATCATCACAGGAACAGGAAAAACCTGATATTTTTTACAAGAAAACATTCAAAGCATACTATAAAAAAGAATCCTATCTGAAAATTGATTTTAAAATAGCTCAAAACATTCAACTTGATAATATTGCTTTAGCTGGATGTATTTTTAAGATAAACTTTGATACTGCTATGTAATTTAATATAAAATGAAATGTCCCAAATCATCACCACAGAAAATCTTATATAATGTATTAATACTAAGGCTGGAAGCTCTAATCTGACCTCTGATAAAACATGCCCATTATTATATACAGCCTACAACTCCTTCTGCCAAACAGTAGTAACAGTGGGCTGTGGATACAGAGATCAGTTTTGATTTGAAGATTCAAACGATGAAGATACTAACATGAAACTATGGAATCTGTGGCAATATTTAATTATAATGACCACTGAAGGATGGTGGTAAACTGAGCTCTCGATTCTGATGCCTTTTATTTCCTTTGCTTCCCCAGGAAAAGCAGAGATCTGGTCATTTTGATAACCAGCTTAATAGGATTTGCTCCTCTAAAACAAACATACAAAGTGTAGTGAATCTTCTTGTATTTTTGTAATTTCCCTTTGCAACTTGGAAATATGTGCAAGAGCTACGACTACAGTCCTGCGGGTCGCCAACATCAGCAGAATTGAAATGGGTCAAACCTAGTCACTATTTTAACTTCAGTCAAATCCCAATAGTCTTTGGACGAGTCTTGAAGAGTTACAGAAGATATCAAAAACACTTAACCATACGGTTATCCTATGCATGTCCTTAAGGTTTTCACTGAATTTGGGTCTAACTATTTTATTCCAGACAAACATGATACCAGAAAAAATAACAACCCAATTTAAAGAACTTCAATATTAGTCAGTAGACCCTGGCAAGTCCCTTTTTGTGACATTTCTGCATCCTATTCATTTGTCAAGAATGTAAACTCATTCCTGCAGTTACCAAATATATCAAGAATTTTCTCATGCTGTTTCTGTTTCATATTTCTCCCTCAAGCTCAGTGAATGTAGTTCCGCTCTGCTAGTCGCAAGTTGCAAGCAATGTCTTCAGTTTCTGAATTCAGAATCTTCTTCCAGACATGCATCAAATATATTATATGTATACGAAAAAGGAAACTGGTATTTCATTCTCTCCTCCCACAGGACTCAAAAGATGAACAGCATTAACTGAAGCTCCGTTCGCACACACAGGAAAAGATGTGCAGCAGAAAAGTGTATCAGGAAAATGTACACAAAAAATGTATAAAGAAGGAGGAAAACTGGGGGAAAAAGTGCTATATTTCTTCTCCAAGGAAATTCAGATTTACTCCATGTAGGCTATTCTCTATTATTCATTTTGGACAGTTAATTATGCTCTTTTGTTTGCCTTGTTGTTCAGTATTGTACATATGAACAGATTTCAGCTGAAAACTTGCAAGACTGTTTTAGAAGGACAGCAAAGAAGGCCATTTTAGTGTAAAAAGACCATCTGCCCTTTGTGATTCCTTATTCCCCTGTTTTAGAATTCTCAGCCTGCCAGGTAAAGAGTTGAAACCCAAATTACACAACAAAGTCTTATTATTATGCACTTTAAATGCCAAATGCCAAATGATGGTCAGAATTTGATATCTGTTTGTATCTGTTTATTAAAAAAAAAAAAAAAGAGTAGCAAACTGACTTTTCTTATCAAAGCAAGCAAAAGAGAAAGCTTTTCTTTTTTAAATCCATAATGAATTTTGCTGTCCAGAAGCTTGGTCTAGAAACTTCGGCCTCACATTTAGAAAATATTTCATACCCTTAGTAAAGTACTTGCAAGAAAGTACTTGCAACAAAGTCTTGGCTGTTTTCTTGTGTGTTTTCTTTGACAGCATTCTTTGACAGCCACTAACATTTGCTAGCCAATTGCATAAAGGTTGTAAGTATGCACAAAACACATCTCTAGCTAACTAGATCAGAACAATTTCCCTCATCCAGTGCATCCAGTTTTATTAGCATTATCCCAATTGCCACAATTTGTTCTATGTCTGTGTTTCCCTGAGATACTTTCTACTATGCCTTGGCATTCCATACGTTTGATTTGCAGTTCAAATCACAATTCATAAATTAATTGAAAAATGATACAATTCTATTTGACAAATGAGAAGATTCATTTCTTAGCAGATTTGAGTAGCAAGATCTAGCAAGTCATTCTCTAATCTCAATCAGATACGCTTTGGTTATTTTATATTTGCAAATAGATACCAAACTGTGACTAGAATAGCTGTTGCCTGAGTTTAAAATATATATATTATTCCACTGTGATTGCTTTCAGATAATCATGATCTTAAAAAGTTTTCCCTTTTCAGGCTGCATTTTCAAAGTAGTCTATGCACAGAACTAAAATATTTATCTGTAACTACTAAAAACTGAGCTATTTTGGGATGCAATGAACCAAAATACTTTCCTTAGAGGCAAAAATATAGCTACAATTTTGCAAAAGTCTTATAATGGAAACAGTAAGAAGCAAAAGTTGTTATGGAAATGACACAAGTTTTATGTGTTCCACCACATATGGTATTGGTGATGGCATTCCCAAATCTGGAATATTAAATAAAATATGAATATTTACCGAATGCTGGGACCAAATTATGAGAAAATTTTCAAGTAGTGCCATATCATATCAATAATACATAAAAATATACTTATTTCTGCTCATAATTGGCCCCTAGTACTGATGAGGACAGGGACAGATTTGGACTAGCGTGAGCAGCAGCTGCTGCTGCCCCTACCACAGATGGGATTCACAGCTTACCTCTAACTCAGGTGCCAGAGGAAAAAGCCTTGATCTCCTCCAGACTTCATCTCCTCTTCTTCTTATCCTTTCTTGGCCCTCGCTCTTAAACTTCCTGCAGCTTCCGATCTACATGTCCCTTCCAAGTTACTGGTTTCGAAAACACCACTCATACTTCAAGAGCTCCCCACCATTATGATTTCCAGCTAACATTATCTGTCACTTGCCTACGATATCTTACTTGTTGTCTAAGGCCAGACAGATTCTCTGCAGAACTCACACAGTATTTACCTCCATTCACTATTAGGCCCCATATACCATAGGGAATCACAAGGAAACTTTTCCACAAACATTTTCACACAGAGTTTGCAGCATACAGAAGAGGAGGGAAAGGAGGAGGTGCTTCATGACAGAGTAGATATCTATCTACACAGCAACCCGTGGAGGATCCATGCTGGAGCAGGTGAATATTCCCAAAGATGTGGCCCTTGCAGAGGACCCATGCTGGAGCAGGTGAAAAGGAGGAAGGAGAGGCAGAAAGAACTGTTAGGAGCAGACAGTAGCCCAACAAACATTATCCCCTGCAGCCCTTGGGGAGGAGAGGGCTCATGAGGGATGTGAGGCTGGAAACAGGCAGTGGAAGGGGTTAATTTTAAACTGCTGTTTTAATACTTGCTTTTTTCTTTCCCAGTACCCAAATTAATAATGAAATACTTATTTTAATCAGCATTAAACTTAAGACCAAAGCAAGTCTGTTTTAACCCTGACAGTAATTGATAAGCAATTTCCCCGTTTCATCTCAGCTAACAAGTTTTCTCATTCCTGCTTTTCTTCTTTTCTTTTCTACTCCATTGCACTGAGGCTGGGGGGGGGCAGGGAGTGGCTGGGTGGGAGTTTGGTGTCTGGCTAAGGCTAACCCACCACAGTGGTAAAGCTATAGATGCTAGATTTTCTCTTTGTATAAGGGTACACAGGGATAGGCAACCTGAAGGGAAGTGCCAAGAGTAATATGCCTTCAGAGACCACCTGTACCCATATGTAACATACACATAAGAACTCATAATGCAAAGCTTACAATTCCACTCTATTGACTAAAGGTAAAGAACAAAAAGCTTTTATCCAGATTCACCTTTGTCAATCAGAGTAAGTTCCTAACACCAGACAAAGTGAGTCATAGAAGCCCATAAACAGTC